TCATGCCTCAATTAAGAGTCTGCATGCCACAACTAAGAAGTCCACATGCCGCAATTAAGACCCAGCGCAGGCTAAATAAATAAATATTGAAAGAAATTAAAAATAGAATTACCATATGGCTCAGAAATTCCACTTGTGAGTGTACACTCAAAAGAATTTAAAGTAGGGTCTGAAAGAGAGATATCGGGGCTCCCCTGGTGGCACAGTGGTTAAGAATCCGCCTGCCAAAGCAGGGGACACGGGTTCAAGCCCTGGCCCGGGAAGATCCCACATGCCGCAGAGCAACTAAGCCCATGTGCCACAACTACTGAGCCTGTGCTCTAGAGCCCACGTGCCACAACTCCTGAAGCCTGTGCACCTAGAGCCCATGGTCCACAACAAGAGAAGCCACCGCATGTGAAGCCCACACACTGCAACGAAGAGTAGCCCCTGCTCGCTGCAACTAGAGAAAGCCCGCGCGTAGCAACGAAGACCCAACACAACCAAAAATAAATAAATTTTTTTAAAAAAAATTTAAAAAGAGAGATATTTGTACACCCATGTTCATAGCAGCATTATTCATAGTAGCCAAAAAGGTGGAAGCAACCCAAGTGCCCACCAATGGATGAGTAGATAAGCAAAATATGGTCTATACGTACAACAGAATATTATTCAGCCTTAAAGGAAGGGAATTCTGCTATAACGTGATGAACCTTGAGGACATTATGCTAAGTGAAATAAGCCATCACAGCAAGACAAATATTGTATGATTCCATTCACATGAGGTCCCTAGAGCAGTCAAATTCATAGAGACAGAAGGTAGAAGGGTGGTTGCCAGGGCTGAGGGGGAGTAGGGAATGGGGAGTTGTTATTTAGTATTGAGTTTCAGTTTTGCAAGATGAAAAGAGTTCTGGAGATGGATGGTGGTGATGGTTATGCAACAGTGTGAATGTACTGAACACTACTGAACTGCCCACTTAAAATGTTTAAGGTGGTAAATTTTGTTATGTGTATTTACCACAACTAAGAAAAACAGAGTGGCAGTTTCTCACTCAAGTGCCTTGGATTTGGTCCAAAAGGCTGACCAGCTGTGTGTCCTTGGGTGTCACTATTCCCATAAATGGTTTTTCCTGTGTAAACGGAAGAGACAAACAAGACAGAATATGGGAATTTGCTTTAGGAGCCATTGCTGGGGTACAATGTCTGGTCAGGGAGAATGCCCTGCCCCCTTGGGGATGAACTCCCTAAGCTTCCAAAGGGAGGGAAGTGAGTGACGATGAAAAGAACAGACTAGAACAGAACGGCAGAGGCGGGCACCAGCCCCTGGAGCTCAATCAAGCCCCGTTGCCTCGGTTGCTGGAATGCTCCCAGGATGCTCTGACCCTCAGGACAAACTCCAAGCCCCTGAGCCTGTGATCAAGCCCTTAGCAGTCTGTGTCTTGCTCACTCCTCCGGGTTTGGTCACCGCCGCTCTGGGCTCCTACTTTCCACTCCAGCACATACACCAGTCCATAATTCCCTCCCACACCTGTACTTTTAAAATCCCCTCTTTTGAGAGTGCCCTGCCCAGCCCACAACCCTCTGCCTGGAGGCCATACTCCTCCTTTGTTCCTCTCACCATCTCTTTGAAGACTTCCCTGGCCTCCCCACACTGCTCCTCTGTGTTCCAGCGGCGCCCGGCCCCCAGCCCTTATCATAGGTAACGCCATTTATTTCACTTTTTCATGAAATACTTAGTGGGCACCTATTGTCAGCCAGGTACTATTCTAGGCTCTGAGGGGTTAGCAATGAAGAGAACAGCCAAAAGTCCCTGCCCCTGAGGAACCCATATTCTAGAAGGACCTCTCCCCTGGGCCTGTGTGCCATCTTCAGTGGGGAGCGCACAGCGGGGCCCCAGCCCTTGGTGCCCAGGTGCTGAGTGGCGGGGGTAGATGACCCTGATGCAGCCCACCAGAGTCCAGCAGGGTCCAGGAAGAGCTGAAATCACGCAGAGGAGCCACGGAGAGTGCTGAGGCAGAGGGAGAGGGGCAGGGCTGTGCTCCGCGCCTTCCCTCCCAAGCCACCTCCTGGGTTTCTTCCTGGTCCACAGAGTGTTTTACCACGTGCTTATCTTTGCCCTAATAATAAAGGGCATGTACATGTAAGAAGCTGTTCGGTAGTCTGGTCTTGGTCCATCACCCCTAAAAGGCAGAGCTAAGCACCCCAGATGCACGCATGCCCCTCCGCCCGGGTATGGTGTGGATTTGGTACCAGATTGGCTGACTGAGTGAGGCGGTGCCCGAGAGGCTGGATCTCACCAGCTCTTCTGATTAATGATGCAGCCAGCTGGGCAGATTACTCAGAGCAGCCTGAGCTGTTAAAATCTCCCATGATCCATCCCCAGCCCTTCACCACGACTCCGCCTCTGCCCTCATCTCCTGACGCCACTCCTTCCCCCTTCCCTCACCTCCTCCAGGTCTCTCCTCAAATCTCATCTTGTCGGTGAAATGGTCCCATTCCATCCTTTTTAATACAGCAAAGCTTCTACTTTTGTTCTCCCTTTCCGGCCCACACTGTTTACTTTTCTCCACACGCTTACTCCCATCCAGCGTTAACAGAAGCGTGCTGGAACCGACTCTGAGGGCTTACAAAAGCCTATGACATTTTTAGGAACTTGGCTGGCTGGTTGTTAAGCAATGCCATCATTAAAAATTAAATTATACCAACTTCATTAAGTTAATGATATTAAAAACAAAGGTGAGGGGCTTCCCTGGTGGCGCAGTGGTTAAGAATCCACCTGCCAATGTAGGGGACACGGGTTCGAGCCCTGGTCTGGGAAGATCCCACATACCACAGAGCAACTAAGCCCGTGCACCGCAACTACTGAGCCCACGTGCCACAACTACCAAAGCCCGAGCACCTAGAGCCCGTGCTCCACAACAAGAGAAGCCACCGCAATGAGAAGCCCACGCACTGCAACGAAGAGCAGCCCCCACTCACCACAACTAGGGAAAGCCCGCGTGCAGCAACGAAGACCCAACACAGCCAAAAATAAATAAATATATTAAAAAAGATAAAAACAAAGGTGAAAAATGCTCAAACTCATCACTTTCTAATTTTTACTACCTTTTGCTATTATCTATGATCTTGAGAATCTTTACAGCTGTAGAAATATGGTAGAAATATATACTATATAATGGCATGCTACTGTGCGTTTCTTTTCAACTCCGCATTCATTGACATCACACTGGTAGCTCGAAATCAGCCCTGGTAGGAGTATTTACACCACAGAAATAGGTAAGTATGATAACTCAGGTTTTGATTTATTGTTCTGTTGACTGTCTAGACCAGCAGTTGGCCATGGGCCACATCCAGCCCACCAACTCTTTCTGTAAATAAACTTCATTGCAACACAGCCAGGCCCACTCATTTCCATATCTGTGGCTGCTTTCACATCCCAAGAGCAGTTGAGTAGTTGCAACTACATGGCCTGCAAAGTCTAACATATGTACTATCTTGCTCCTTACGGAAGAAATTTGCCTACCCCTGGTCTAGCCTTAAGAAAGTAATGGAGGAAATGTTAATAATGTAGATTAAATGTAAATATGTCCTGTCTATAGCTGCTACAGGCAGATCTCACTTTATTTCGCTTTACTGCACTTCACAGATGGTGCGGTATTTACAAATTGAAGGTTTGTGGAAACCCTAGTTGAACAAGTCCATAGGTGCCATTTTTTCAACAGCATTTGCTTGCTTCATGTCACTGTGTCACATTTTGGTAATTTTCACAATATCTCAGACTTTTTCACTGTTACACTTGTTACGGCGATCTGGGACCTGTGATGTTGCTACTACAGTTTGCTGAAGGCTCAGATGATGATCAGTGTTTTTTAGCAATTAAGTATTTTTAAATTAAGGTATGTACATTTTCTTAGACATAATGCTATTATTGCACTCTTAATAGACTACAGTATAGTGTAAACATAACTTTCATATGCACTGGGAAACCAAAAGATTCAGGTAACTCGCTGTATTGCAGTGGTCTGGAACCGAACCTGCCGTATCTCTGAGGTATGCCTGTACATTGTAAATAGCCACACACACGCAAAAAAAGCTGAGCAAATATACTGCCGGTATTTGAAAACTGCGATCTAATACAGCAAAGAAGTCGATCAGGTCATTGAGAAATGAGTTGAATTCCAACATCTTCGTTCTTTCACTTTTTCACTTTCTTACATCAACATTCATGTTGGAACTACACTTGTTCATCAGTTATAACCATAGGTTGACTATGGATGCAAGAGTTAGGCAAAATTCAAGAAAAGTATACTGTAAGAATAAACTGGCTATACCGAATTCACAATAAAGAGTATTGTAGAATTTTATTAGGTTTCTTTCAGTAAAATTTATGATAAACACACATTCACACACACATATACACACTTTGTTTCAGAGAGCCTATTGTTAAACCTTTACAAGCACACACACTCTCCACTAGAATGTAAGTTCCTTGATGGTAGGAATTGTTTTTTTTTTTAATCCAGCGCTTAGAACACACCTAACACGTAGCAGATACACAGTCAACATATGTGACATGAATGAACATATGAGCATAGTTGGGAACCCACGTTTCATGGGTTGACGGTCAGACCTTACATTTCCAGCTCCAACATTATCCAGCTGTGTGGATAAATTATTTAATTTCTTTGAACCCTGGCTTCTTTATTAAAACAAACAAACAAACAAACAAAAAGATGGGGGAATCTTCCTACCTCACAGGGAGATGGTGACAACATATGCCTCTGCCTGGCACCTACCAGGTTTCTCCACAGACAGGAGTTTCCTCCTCACCCTCCACCCCTGCCATCCACATACTCCTCGGAGACTCAGCCCTGCCACTGTCACACATTTCAGTGATGTCACAGCCCCCTCCCTGGGAGCCACAGCACAATCATCCTGATGCCCAGCCTGAGCACTGGCTGAGCTGAGAGAGGCAGGGGGCAGGCGGTGCCTTGCTCCATCTGTCTCTGAGGCCTCACAGCTCCAGCATGAGTCCATCAGCAAAGAAGAGGCTCAAGAATACAGTGGTTTCCAAGGTTGGATTTGGGACTAGACCCAGTGGGGGTCTCAACAAAGAGTCCAACCATGCCCAGGATGGGGGCCTTCCAGCCTGGGGGGAAGAGGGAGAGGTGAAGGGTGAAGGGAGGTCAGGAGAGTTAGAATGGGCTCCCTGTTTCCACCCCCAAACCAAGGTGACAAAACTCCCAGTCTAGGGTTGGTCACACCAAGCCCAGCCCAATGGAGAGGCATTATGGAGGCGTTCGGGGGGTTCCTACTGTGTTAGCATTCCCTCTCTCTCTCTCTCTCTCTCTCTCTGTCAGATGCAAGATGAGGAACCACGGGACAAGATACAGCAGCCTGTCAGCAAAGTAATTGCGCGGAACCGACTTAAAGCGGTGAGGCGCCCCGTTTTGGTGTCTGCTTAGGAGAGCCTGAGCCCCCATGCAGTGTTGCTCCTGGCTGCCAGGCCGAGTGACCCGGGAGGAGTCACCTGGCCCTGCCCTGAGCTGAGCTGAGCCAAAGTCCGGGTAGCAGGGTGGGACGCTATCCCAGGAAAGCTGAAGCTTCAGTTTTTCTGGCTCCTCGCCCCCGGCAGGTGCTAAAAAACTTGTCGCTCTTGAAGCTGCTCGAGAGCTCGAACCCTCGGACCCAAGAACTGCATAACCTGGCCAAAAGGTGTTGGAATTCACTGTTCAGAGTTCCGAAGATCCGCAGGGTCTCCTCTGGGTGAGCATGGCCCACCCGCGGCCCGTATCATGGGCCCAATAGCCACCTTTACTAGGAACGGGCACTATGCTAAGGAATTTCGCAACTTGCATTTTGACTAGGCTCTGGCAGAAAGGTAGTTATTTATTAGCCCTATTTTACTGAGGAGCTGAGGCTCAAGAGATGTTGTAACTTGTCCCGTTAACTGGACTGGTAAGTGGCAGAGCTAGGATTTGAAGCCATTCCCAGCTGATATCAGAGCTGTTGTCATAACCCTGGTCATAATAATCCAACCACGGGACTAACCACCACCTGGTGCTCTGAGCACGAGGGGCCACCCCTTCTGCTTCTCCCAAGTCAACACCACGCAGAGATTCACCTGCAAGCTAGTCATACTGCTGAGGCTCAGTTTCCTCACAAGTCACATCAGGATGCTAAGAAAGCTGACATGAGGCACCTGCTAAGTGCCAGGTACCATGCAAAGCATTTTCCCACTTAGTTTATTCTTCACAAAAATCCTATTAGGTAGAAGGAATTACCCCAGTTTTACAGATGAGGAAACTAAGGCTCTGACAGGTTACCTTTCTTGCCCCAAATCACACAGATGGTAAGAGGCAGAAGCAAATGTGAACCCCAGTTTGTCTCCAAAGCCTGGGCTCTCCAAGCCACTATGCCTCTTCCCTGCCTCCTGCTTTGCAGGACTGTTGTGAGGGTCCTGGGCCTGACACCCAGTGGGCACCCAATCGGCAGTGGCCATTATTATCCATCCTCTGTATTGTCATTACCCTGAGCCTGAGGCCTCTCTCTCCACACACACTCAGCTAGGATGGGGATTGCCACATTGCAGGGGACTCAGTCTACGACAGACACCCCTGGGGAAAGTCTCCTAACCCCTCTAGGTAACTCCATCCCTCTGGCTCCTCCCTCTGAGTTGGCGTCCTCCTCGATGCAGGTGCTCAGGAAACACTGAGCCAAAAGGGTCAGGATCATCTAGTCCCAGAGATTTCCAAGCCTTTTTAAAGCAGCAGAGCCTCTCTTCAAATTTCTGTCCCCAAGCCCCAACTGTGTCATTGGAGGGAAGCTATCCTGCCCCTCCAGGGGTGGGGGGTGGTCATTTGAGATACTTTCTAAGATTTCTTGGAACACAATTTGAAAAAAACAAAAACAAAAAAACCCAAAAACAAAACACTGGACCAGTCCACTCCATCAATTGAAATCCAAAGAGGCAGAGCCCTAACCTAGTGGCCGAGGCAGGCAATATATACTTCTAGGCGTCCTAACTACGAGCCATTGCCTCAGGCCTTTCCAACCTCTCACATCCCTTCTGCCAGTACTTACCACCACACCCCCTGCCCCCAGGAACAAGACCTCTGAGTGGTGGAGAAGCTTCTTTTCAGGCCCTCTCTAGCTTTCCTGACAGGCTCCCTGAGCTGACTGCAGAACCGCTGTCTCGGTCTAGCTGGAGGACCAGGACCTTGGTCTCGCTCTGCTGACTGCCGCTCCTCTCCCTGCCAGCCACGAAGACGTCTGGGATACAGTAGAACAAAATAACAAAGATCTTCAGGAGGCTGGGTGTCCCAACAAGAAACTGGACTCCAAGAAATCAGAGCCCCTGAGGGAGCCTGAGGACCCGGAGCAGTCAAGGCCCAAGGCGGCACTGCGGGAGGGGCACACGGCACAGCAAGCAGTGCCGCACGAGGAGGAGCGGCCGGAGCCTGAGGTCCCCGTGACGTCAAAGGGTCGTGGCCTGCCCACTGGCCCTGGAGCCCAGGAGAGGCAATCACCCACTGCGGACCCCCGGGTCGTCTTCCTGAAGACCCACCAGTACAGACCTCCCATGGAGGACATGAAACAGCTGGACACAGCGGACCAGTGGATCTGGTGTGAGGGGCTGCCCACACGAGTCCACCTCCCAGGGCCCCGGGTGATGTGCAGACCATCCGCCCTGCGCTGGGTCAAGCGCTGCTGCACCCGCCTCTGCTCGGCATCACTTGAGCTGCCAATGGCCCGTCCATACAAGGTGTGACAATGCTACTGCCAGGCTAGGGTGAGACACAAGCCCCAAGCCAGGCCCTGAGCTGGGCCCAGAGTCAGAGGGCTTAGGATCCAGAGTCTTGGGGGCTGTGGCTGGCAGTGCTGGGAGGCCCTACCTTCATGCCCAGAGAGGGAAGCCCAGAGAGGCAGAAGCCATTGACCAAGTCCACACAGCAGGGCAGTGGCCAGGCTGGGTCCTCTCAGGACCCAAGTAGGGGCTCTGGGGAAGGAGGGCACTGGGAGTGTGGTTCTGAGGTGGGTCATCCACCGCCTGGAGGCCTCAGGAGGGGCCATCTGCTATGGCTCAGAATCTCACAGAAGTCTGAGTAAGTGAGTTTAGGGATTTCCAAATGTGGGGCTAAGGGGAGGGGGCGTGGTCAAGTAAGGCTCTTCTGCATCTCATCCCCTCTTAGATAAACTCTGCATTTGTTTTATTTATTAGGGCCTCAAATAAGACCTACTCTGAACAAAAGTTCCTTAGCAAAAGAAAAAGTAGAAATACTCCAGCCCCTCCACTGAGGTCCCAAGAAAGGAAGGGGGTGGTGGGCCTGGGGGTCCAGCTGAATGGGAAGCTGCCCCTTCAGCAAACCGGGCATCGCCAATCTGCCAGACACCGCAGCGCCCTGGTCCCCGAGTCCTCTTCCTGGACGCCAGCGCCCTCTGGGGGCGGTCTTAGCTCCTAACTGACGCTGAGGTCTCTGCTCGCAGGTGTGAACTTGGATGGGAGCCAGAGGTGTGCGGAGAGGGCGGAGATCGCGCAACCATCTCAACGGGAGGGATGGGCGGGAAAATTCCCGAGTCTACAAATAAAATCTCCCATATGGCGCTGAAGAATACTGCCGCTGGCTCTGCCTCTTTATCTGGGGCTGGAGGAAAGAGGCCCTCTGCGGAGGTAAGGTGGGGGAGTGGGGAAGAGTGTGAATCACGACTTCAGGTTAATTCCACTCCATCCCCAGGTCCCTACGGTCAGTGTAGAAGCCGTAACAAAGAAGCAAGCGGGCTGCTCCCCTCCCCCGCCTCTGCAAGCTGGCATCCTGAGCGGTGCTCTCCATGAAGTCATAGAAGGGGGGCGTTGGTTGTGCGCTTCCTGGGTGCCAGGTGCCTCACAATGGCCCTGCAGGCCAAGGAGAGGAGGAAACCACCGCGGCGCCGAGAAGCTAAGGTCTTGCGCAGGCTCACGCCGCTGGGAAGTGGCACAGCAAGAACTCTAATCTAGGTCTCCTGGCTGCTCCCCGTTCCATTTCCCGAAGAAGGGGGAAAGGTGCAACTCAGCATCCAGCCCGTCACGCACGTGCATTGCGCCCTGATTATCACGGCTCCGGGTGTCAATAAATGCCAGCCGGAAATGTGAAATGTGCCCCGCCTGGGTCACGGAAAGCACCGAGTCAGGCGGGGAACTGGTACTTCGTCCTGCTGCTCCCGTGGGACACAGCGCGTCCATCCTCCAACCCCGAGTCCGGTAGGAGCCACAGGGCCCTGAATATGCAGTTGGGGAGAGGAAAACAGAGGGGGCCCAGGCTTTCTCTGCACAAAGACTATGATCCTTGTCCTCCGTATTCCCCTAGAGACAGGCTGTGTGCAGCGGGCGCCCGCGGGAAAGCAGCAGAGCCATCGAGGGGCGCAGAGCCCTCCACCCGCACTCCCAGGGAGCCAGGACACTGATGGAGATCCTCAGATTGGGAGGGAGAGAGAAGGATGGGAAAGGCTCCCGCTAAACCGGCCGGCTCGCACCCCTCCTCTCCACTGGGGCTCAGCACCCTGACTGAGCATCCGCCAGGAGGCCGCCAGCGGAAACCGGGCCGCGAGAACAGCCTGAGCGGGGCCTGGCGCTGGACCGCTCTGCACCGCACTGCTCAGCCTCGGGAATGGCGACCTAACGCCCCCCGCAGCGCGCTCCCTACCTGCGGCCACCCAGGCGCGGCGCTCCCGTCCCGAGCACCCCACCCCGCCCCCTCCGCGCAACCTCCACTCCCGTAACCTTCACTTCAAGCTGTCTTCCCGCTAAGCTTGCAATCCAGCCCATTTCCTGGGTAGTCTCCATTTCAGTTCCCTTGCTGGGCATCATCAATCACATCAACCTTCTATTCGATCTTTCCTCCCAAGCACCTTCCGTTCCATCAACCTTCAAGTAAAGTTCTGTCCAGCGTGCTCTAGCAGCGGGCGATTAGGGCAGGGCACTCCCAAACAAAAAGCCAAACCCTGTGTGTGTGGTGGTGGTGGGGCATGCACTAGTCTTCATGGGAACCTTCCCCAGGGAGCCCCAAGTGGGGGCCCGAATGGCCTGAGCCTAGGCGAGGTTGGCAATTTCTGCTTTGCCCAATTGGGAGCCAGAGCTGGGCCCCAGCTGCCCACGGGCAATGCCATCAAGTGAGCAGACAGAAGCCTGTGTGCCTAGGCTGGGACCCAGCGTGGCCAGGGTGCCGCTGGGGAAGCAAGGATGCAGGCCTCATGCATGTGAATGACTCCCAGCAGTGCGCTCCTTCCGGCCTTATCCCTTCCACCTGCTGGCATTAGGCTCAGGCAACCTGCCTCCCATGATCCCAGAACTAGGGTCTCCCCACTACCATTCTCCCATTGTTTAACCACTTCAACCTGAGGCCCCTCTTCAGGGCTCAGTCAGATCCTGATTTGGGCAGGATGCTGCAACCCATAATCTCAGAGATAAGAGACCGCAGGAGAAATGGCTCCCTAACAGTTAACTGGGGGAAATTTTTTAATGTTTGAATTTTAACAAGTCACACGACCTCTCAGAGCCTATCCCATCTGTTTATTAAAAGAGGGATACTAGTAGCCATGCCAGAGGCCTTTGGGCAAATCAGGCTTGATGTACTTGAAACCAGTTTGTGGGACGTTGAACATTCGGCCTTTTTTCCAGGCCTCCTTGCTGTAATAGAGCCAGAACTGGCCCTGTTTCTCACTTACGAGCAGCTGCCTAACTGCCCACCTTAGGGAACTAGCTGCTTGTTTCAAAAGCCAATCTTATGTTCATTCACAAAATAGCATCTGGATCCCGGAGACTGTCCCTCTCGCAATCTGGGCCATGTACCACTTAAACATGATTGGTATATGAATGGGGATGAGGTTGCTGAGGCAGACAGGCCCAGCTTCTTATCAGCTGTTTGATGCTGGGGAAAGCTGTTTACTCCTAAGCCTCAGTTTCATTGTCTGCAAAATGGGGAAAACGGTGGTGCCTATCTCATTGGGTTAAGTTAGAAACATAAATCACTTTACAGTGCATGGCACATAGGAGCTCAATACTTGGTGGCTGTACCTAGGCCATGGGCAAGCCTGTCCCCCACCTAACAGTTGAGGCTTTGAAGAAAGATATCTCCTCTGTAAAATGGGAAGGGGGCAGCGGTCCCATAATTCTAACTGCTTAGATTCATGGATCACTTTCTTATAGGTCAGGCGCAGCACTAAATGCTTTACATTATGACATCTCACTGAATCCTCACAAAAACTCAGGGAAGTTCAACCCAGGGAAGGTTAAGTAGCTTATCCAAGGTCTCAGAGCTGGTAATGGGACTCCAGGACTTAACCTTGCACTCCATTGCAGCTCTCTAAAGCCTTCTAACATTGGGCCCCTAGAAGTCTCCCTGGCCTGGCCAGGTAGGCAGGTCAGGGATTAAAACTCTCAGCTCCCTCTACTCCCCTTGTTTCAATGTTGTTCTACCATCCTTTGCTACTTTCCTACAGAAAACCTCAAGCACGCAGTAGCTCTTAATTCCCTCTCCACAAAGAACCTCTCTTGTGCCCAGAACTGGCCTCTCCTTCCCCTGCCCCTGAGGCTGTAGTCCCTGGGTTACAGGCTGACTGCCCCCGGGGACTGCGAGAAGGAAGCTACCCTGATCTGGGAGTTGTTGAAGAGAGTCTAAGACTCTGCTTCCAGGGGAACCTAACCTGTTTGAGCTGTGCCTCACGTAAGACTCACGGGGACCTGGAGCTTCCCACCTCACTGGTGCCTGCTGGCTGCCATTCTGACCCCCATGTAGCTCTGATCTGGACAGGCCTGCCTAGAACTACGGGTTAGAGGCACCCTCTGAGCTAGACATCCCTTTCTCCTTTCCCGTCCTTCTTGCGGGTTATAAACTATTCTGAGCACCAGCTAGGCACTAGTCTCCACTTGTCTCTCCAAATGGTAGTGGACGGGATGGGGCGGGGCGGGGCAGGGGGGCGCGTCTAGACGTCAGACCCCTAGAAAGTCAAGAGCTACACCAACTCAGTGGTAGGGTGGCGGTAACTTTCGGATCTAGGTACTTTCCTTTAACCTTTGGAAATAAAAATATTTCCAACATTCCTATGTTCACTTGGAAATCTGTGGCCATATTTAATGTACTGCCTATCGGTTTTTCTTGGAAAGCAAGTAATATTTACACAGTTTACATCCTTAGTGTTTAAAACAATACAGTAGGATGAGAAAGTATGATTATAAGGTGCAGACTGTTTAACCACTAAGAACTTAAACATCTTTAACTATTAATCTCTTCAGAATGAGTTTATTAATGTCACTACCAGAACCCAAATCCTGGCTCTGCCAGCTCCTAACATGTAACCTTGGGCAAGTTCCTTAGTTTCCTCATCTGTAAGATACAGGTGATGCTGTTTCCTACTTCAGAGGGTTGCTGTGAAGATTAAGTGAGCAAGGAGGTGCAGAGCACTTAGTCTACTGCTGGACATCTCTTTAGGAAGCACTCAATGGATGTTATTTATCACTTCCATTGCCCAGTCCTCTCTGGAACTTGCCTCTAGACACTGCTTTGTCACTTTAGAATTCATAAAAATCTCAAGAAACTCACATATTTTTGACCCCCAACTGTCATTCAGCTTAGTCATGATATTATTAAAAAACAAAAAACCCCCACCTTGGCTCCCCTGACCTTTGGCAGTTTTCATAAATCCAACTGACACTCAAGGGGCAGAGATCTGTCATCGAAGATGTGCAGGACAGCACCAGCCTTTGTGGGAAACTCCCAAAGAGGTGTGCCAACACAGCTGGAGCTACCACCACCAGAGCTGGCCACGGGAGCCTGCGGCCACACGATGTGAGTGCTCTGAGGCTTGCCTCAAAACAAAGTTAGTCACCTGCCTTTAGAGTCTGGGGGGAAATCCATCCACCCAGGGGAAGCCATTTCAGCTGGTCATACCTCCTGGACCCCGCAGCCAGGATTAGAATCCCATTAACAACCTGCTTCCTCCCAGCTCGGCTAGAGTTCCCTGAGTTACTGAGGTGCCTCACCCGAGCATTTTCCCAGCCTCTGCCCAGGCATGTTCACTCTTAAACCTTCATCCTGTCGGCCTCAACTTCCTATTCTGCAGGGCTGGGAGCCAGGAGGCTAGAAAGGCTTCCTGGGGAGATGGCAAAAGTCCCCAACTGTGTAGCCCTAACACTGAAAGCTGAGCACCGACAGCTCTCTCAGGCAGGCTCTGGAGGACCCAAAGGGGAGCAGCAATGGTTTCCAGGCAGAAATGGGTCTAGACCAGGGCATTCCACTGGGCACGTTCAGAAGTCACTGGCAAATGGCAAAGGTACCCTGAGAGTCATGGCAGTTCACCCAAGGCGTGGCGGAGAAGGCTGCAGGCGGGGGTGGGACACAGGTGTCCCCGGCACTTAGTGTTTTAACCCGTTGGAGGAATACTCGGGTTCAGGAAGAAAAGAAGGTGGCCTAATCATTCTGTATAGCTCCCGAGCACAGCATTACAAAATAAGCACAGGCAGAGCCGTGGAAAATACTGTATTTATGTACACGGGAAGGGCAGCTGTAAGCCCCTCACAGAGGACACTCCACCCCGAAGAAAAATCTTAGTAGCAAATCCCTATCTCCCTCGGCACTATCAAGTGCACCTCAAGCTGGAAGGCTGGGCGCCCACTGTACCCTTCGCACTGTGTAATTCCAAACAAGGCGGGAATAGGGAACTATTGCCAGAACGGAGGTCCGTGGGAGCTGGGATGCCCGGTCATCCCTAGAGAACAGGCAGTGACTCTAGTTCGAGGGTTAGATGGGGAGCGACGCTAAGATTCTTCTCTGGGTCCTACGGCCTGCTATGTTGAAAGCTGGCAGCAGGGTGGAGGCCCAGTAGAGAGAACCGGAAGAAAGTCAGTCACGGGTTCACTGGTGTACACACATGTGTGTAGCAGGACACAGGTTGTGCGTTTTCTTTCTGCTTGATGCCTCCACCTGCCATCCTCTCACTGACAGCAGCCTGCTACTTTGCGCCTACATCTTTCTGTGGCTCTGGATCCAGAAGCCCAGTGTTGCTCCAAACAGAACAGCTGCAGTCCAGCAGCATGGCAAAGCTAACAGCTGTCCCAGGGAGGTAAGACAGGTGGCTAGAAGAGTGGTGCGCTGTGATCAGATACCCTTATTTTTTTTTTTCCTTTTTAAAATAACAGGCTGGTGACAGGTATGGTGGCTCAAGAGTGGCATGGTTCTGATTCTGTTATTACCCTGAAAGAGGTCCCCCTTGCCGACCTCCCAGATACCAAGGCTTCAGTGAACGGAGGCCGTTCTTGCAGCTGTGTTCCTGCCTGCTACCTGCCTTCTTGACGGGGCCTCACTGTCTCTCCCACACCAAAAGAGACTTCACATTTCCCGGGTTCCTCTCAGGCCTGGGCTGGACCTCATCTGGACAGTCGGAGCAGCCCAAGGTGTCAAGTGCCCAGCTGGGTGTCCAAAGGACCTGACTCTAGACACTGGACTTCGGGGCTGAGTTGAGGGGGATGTCCTTGAGCTCCGACCGCATGCACAGGTACTCCCCGATGACAGCCATGAGTGCAATGCACACGGCCTGGACCAGCCACCAAGTCAGCGCCGAGGGGAAACGGGAGCTGTAGAACCAGCAGCCCAGGAGGTGAAAGAAATGGACAGTGACAGTGAAATCCAGACACTGCTTCCCTCGCCGGATGAAGTACAGCAAGCCCAGGGCACTGTGGGGAGAGGACAGCAGTGAGTTGTCACTGGGTTGTCCTGGTCTTAGATTAGGTTATTTGGGGGAGCAGGGACAATTAGGATGACAGCATAGTGGTCAGAAGCAAGCGAGAGAAGCGGGAGGCAGGGGTTACATTATCAGATGCCCAGAGGAACCTGCCAGGTGATGCTGAGAGTGGATCAGGCTGGGGAGAAGGAAAAGTACGAGCTTGATGATCAATGCAGCTGCCACACAAAGGGATCCCAGCGACTGGCGGACACTGTAGCAGCATGAAG